ATAACACATAAAATACCCAGAAGCATAATTTCCTTTACCTAATCTGGAAATCACTTGTGTGCTCTTAAAGAAGTGTATCGGTAGGATAATCAAAGCTTTGCCATAGAATTTTACCATCTGCATTCGTTAAAAGAACATTTCCAGTAGCCAAAAGCTCTGTTCTCAAAGCACCAGTAGAGGTAGTGTTAGTCATCCAAATTACCGAATCATCAACATCGGTTAGCACCATGGCACAATTTCGCCGAAAAATAATTTTTGAGCCCTGCCTATTGACTGGTCTGTCACGGTTAGCCATCCAAACAACAGTTCTTTCTTTAGAATTGGTGAACCAGATTGAGAACCAATAAGCATTTTGACCAAGGCCATAAAACCCATAGGTGAAAGTTTTGTTTAGGGATGATAACACGTCTGAAGCATCTTCAACTGATAGTGAAGAGCCTCAACGCAACAAGTTTTGGCTTTTCGAAGTATTGAAAGACAAGAGTAAGGAAAAGAGAACAATAAAAAAAGTGGGAAATTTGGGAAATGGCAAGGATTGAACCCCATGCTTGTAGAAAAAGATGTTATGGGAGGAACGGAGTACAGGCTTTATGCGGCTCTCTTTCTTTGATGTTGTTTGAAAGTTTTAACTTTCCATCAAAAGTTTGACGGAAAGATCAATTTAATTTACAAAAAGAGTATTAACTAGTGTTTGAAATTAACTTGCATAAAAGCAAATGTTATAGTGTAAGGTATAGCATTAGGGAACCTTTGAGGTACAGTACTGCCAGCCAGTGGGGAGGCGTCTCAAAGGAAACCTTCTACATTAGACAACTGGACTTGTATCACTTGTCTACGTCTCTTTCTTTGGTGTAAATTTGAGACTTTAGTTGGCGGGCGGTGGACTTCTCGTCTGGTTTAGGAAATTTTTTTTAGGAAGTTTAAAACTTAACAAAATACCCTCGGCCACCCAAGGCAACTGGCGACTACTGGCCATTTCCACCAGCCACCACTGACAATCGTTGGAACAGTGCATGACCAGTCAGACATGGCTGACCGTGCATTGATTTGGCAGAAAACAGTCATATCCATTCTGACGGTTTTCAGCCTTCAATCTAGTAAAAAATAGCCAGATCCATGCATGGCTGGCTAGATCCAATCGGTCACGTGCTATTTTAATGACTGTTGGCAGTGGTGGCCAACGGTTGACAGTAGTCTTGGGTGGTTGGGGATATTTTTGGTATTATTTGTGTAAATAGAGAGAGTATTTATGTCCAAAAAATTAATATATAAGGTTATAGAAGTCATTTCGCATATTTGAGCTAATTGTTATTTAATAGACATATAAGAGCATGTGTCCAAAATGTTTATTAATTAAGGGTAGAATTGGTATGAATAGTGGGTTACCTGATAATAAAAAAAATAACACATTTTTTAGACGGTAATCGAATTACCCCCTATATTACCTACAATAATCAAATATTAGTATTAACGATTACTAGAATCTTTCATTACTTGACACCCAAATGTGATAATTGTTAGATTCAAAGATAGATTACCGATGTCATTTTTTATGACCCTGAACCAAATGCTATGATAGTAAAAACTTAATGAACCCACTCAAGTTTCAATGTCCCACCCATAACCCAATTGAGAATAATAGCCGCCCTTAATATTTAGTACATACTGGAATTCTAAAGCTATTGATACTATTAAAAAAAAACTGAATTAGATAAAACGAACTTATGCCTGTTGGAAACTATGTATATATATATGTAATTGTTGTGTGTGTATATAAGTGTAAGGCTGTACTGTTGAATTTTTAAGAAATAGAAATCGAAAATTGCATATATTTAAAACATGGTATCTGCAATCTGGCCACGCGATCAAAGAGCTAAAGATCAGCGATCTGAAGCTGAAGATCAAGACGATCTGACCAAGCGATTGGAGAACTCTGACGCTTATGATCTGGCCACGCGATCTAAGAACTCTGACACATGCGATCTGCAATTTGGCCACGCGATTGGAGAACTCTAACTCATGCGATCTGGCCATGTGATCGGAGAACTCTGACGCGTGCGATCTGGCCACGTGATTGGAGAACTCTGACGCGTGCAATCTGGCCACACGATCAGAGAACTCTGACTCTGCGATTTGGCCACGCCATCGGGGAGCTTGCACGCAGGTTTGAGACCTGCATGGGCCACCAAACTGTTGATGCTTGATTTTGGACACCAACGACTCGCATGTGTAAAGTGCTAAGAGAATCTTAGAAATTACATGTGATGGATCCATGAGATTTGAATATAGTGCTGAGATTATATATGTTGTAGAAACATAAATAATAGACTGACAAAAGAAGTTTTTATAGTGGTTCGGATGCTTAAAGCAACTCTTATACTGTTATTTTATTATTCTCTGACTATTTCTATGATATTGCCCATAAGACATACTAAGATGAAGAAATACTTTGCTTACAGTGAGAAATAATGAAGCTCAAATCTACGCCTAGCTCTCATATGCCGAACCTCTCTTTTCGTGAAGAGATGTGCTCAATGATGACCCCTTTTAGATCAATATAATGAATGCTTTTGCAAGTTGCCCTGACATGTAGGGACCATTCCTTAATTCTTATCTTTTTATTTCGATAAAGTTGGGACAAGTGTGCGCTCCTCATCCACTCATAGACAAAACTTGAATTTGATGGGTTGGTGACAGCCGTATCCCTTGTCTTGGGGCGACGTGACAACTTCTAGATGTTACAAAGCCTTTCTGAACTCTGATTGGTTCGTGCTGATATCAATGCGATTTTTTAGGCACAATAGTTACTATAAATGATCGTTTCTCATTTGGTTAGCATTCAATATCTTGAAAAATAGCCTTAGCATCTCAGAAAAGCCATTAAAAAGAGGGAAAACTGAAAGAAATTTGAAGAATTCATTTCTCTGATAAAACTGTGATAAAATACACAAAGGAATTTCAAGTCCTAAAGACAAATATGTTGGACTAAACCCTAAATAGAACTCAATATCAACATACTCAACTACATTATACTCCATACTTCTAATCTCAACAAAAATGTCCAAAAATTGAAATCCCAAAAGAGCTACTTGGAAAAATTCTTTACCAAGATTACCCTCCCTAATAAACCCAAAATTCCTGATAAAGAATTCTACCACTAAAATGCTAGGAAAACGCAGCGTTTTCAAGATCCAGAAAACCTTAATTTTCTATTCCCCAAATTAACCAAAAAACCAACCAAACAGTAAAGAAGCCATAAATAAAAGCCCTTCTCTAATCACCTTGATCTAAGCAAGAACACACTGAACTCTTGACCCGGGTACTCATCTAGGTTAATCAAATGAAACAACTCCGAGTCAGCACTTCCAATCGCGTGCTCATAATTCGCCCTCATGTACATGATCTCCTCCGCTTCTGAACCTGAAGACCCGAACCCGGCTGGAATAACACCCGTACCAACAGTCATGGACTCCATTGTCTTTAACATCAAACGATTATGCCCGCTCGCTTTTCTCCAAACCGCAAAACCCACCTTCCGCCCATTACAGTACATTATCCAAACCGGTACAGATCTGAGTGGGCAAGAACAGAGTTCGGGTTGGGCGCACTCGAGAGCAATCCGTACAAGTCCGCGACGCATTTCTTTGACGAGCTGGTGAGTGGGAATGGAGAGTTCGAGGAGAAGAAAGGGTTTTGTAGATTGACGTTAGTGTTGAACACAGAACCAGACATGGCCACGTCATTGACCGAAGATGGTACCGATTACCATGGACTTGGAGGGGCGAGAGGAGGCAATTGGAAGAGAGGTGACACTATCTTTGGGAGAGGTTGATTCTTGATCTTGGTTTGTGTTTTCATCTTCTTGATTAGTATTGGTGGTGGTGGAGGGTTCGTTGAGGTCGTCTCTTAAGGAGGTGCTGAATCGTTTCTTGAGAGGAGTTGTTTGCGCGGTGGAGGAAGTGGTGGAGGTGGGGAAGTGACAAGGGAGAAAGAATCGACGGAGAGCGTCGATCTTAGTCATTGCTATGGGTTGCTGAAGGCAGAGAATCAAGATTGAAGCTTGGAGAGTTGTAGCTCGATCTGGTTTTTTGAGGGTTTAAGAAAAATATAAAGGCGGGAAAAAGTGAATGTAGCCGTTAAGGTTCTTTCTTGTTTGGATTGGCAGGGGATAACTTCTCAGAGAGTGACACGTGTACAACCCAACTGTTGTCTAGTTTGTCTAGGGGGCACCCTGTTAATTACTTAATTAAGCTTGGATTATTAACTAAACTACTCTGATCAAAATTTAAGTCTCCAATTGTGGATTAAAACTAAAGAAAAAATTATTTTTCTAATATTAAAAGTACTATAACTATATTTTATTTACATTAATAATTAATTTATATATCACACAATAATTTTTCGTATTGAAAAAGACAATTAATAATATTTTGTATAAAATGTTAACATTTCTTATGTTAATAAAAAAATAACACAAAACATAATACCAACATAATCAAGTCAATATAACACAAGAGGAAGGAGGAAAATTTACCGTCACTTTATTTTCTTCTCAGTTCTCACACATAAGCTAGCAAATACATTGATTTATGCACGAGTTAAATCCTAATATCAATTAAATTAGAACTCTTAAGCAAGTGCTCATGGCGGTGTAATGCTGCGTTAATCATCTACAAAGATAAGTCTTGGTTCGGACATCCTATTTTGAAAAAAAAAAAAAAAAAAAAACTAGAACTCCTAACACTAATTAAATAAATCAAATACTAATATTATCTATCTATATAGATAACTCTGGTCTATAATAGAATAGACTAACAACATAAAAATACTAATAAAATTTATATGCTTAATTTAATTTGCAACAAGAACTCTAAATAAAGAAAGAAGTGTAATAACATGAGAGCGAAATTGTGTAAGTCTATGACAATGTACAACATGTCTGAGAGATGAAGAAGAAGAAGAAGAACTTAAATTATTGATGTGGAACTTGAACATTAAAGTTAAACAGATTCAACAGTCTCCTGCTTTTCCTCCGTTTTGGAATTGAGATCTTTTTCTTTCGACAAAAAACGGTATGTGAAGACATTGAAATATATAAGATTTAATACTTCAATGCCTGCAATAAAGAAATAGAAATACTCCAGGGTATCTTTGTTAAGATCAGTGCCACCAAGCCATGGAGCAGCTCCATTTTTCCCGGTTATTCCATGAATCACATTAACTAGAAGGGAGTTCAAATAACTTGCAATTGATAAGCTCAGAAAGAATATTGCTCCGGAAACAGTCCTCATTGATTCTGGCAATTTTGTAGTTAAAAATTCCATTAAGGCCACCGCGGCAAAGGCTTCTGTCAAACCTGAGAAGCAAAATTGTGGCACCAGTGCTAAAATACTCAGAGATGACTTAAATGACTTTTGTTCTAAAGCCAAGATCCTACGCTTCTTTTCAATAAAACCAGCTACCAATAAGCTGAGACTTGCCATCACAATACCAGTGTTAATTCTTTCTCTCATTGTCATTCTTCTTTTCTTTCCTGTCATTTTACGAGACAGAGGTACAATAATACGTTCATAAATGAATATCCATGATGAGAGTGAAAGCATTGATACTAGGCCCATCCAACCAGGTGGCATATTGAAACCCCCAATTATTGTATTAGTCTGAATTGCTTGAAGCATTCCAGTTGTGTTATTTTGGTCCATGGCTATGAAACAAATGATTCCTGCTACCCAAACTGGAAACATTCCTACCAACATTTTCAGTTGTTCCACTTGTAGCACGCTACATAACTTCCATTCATTCTTGGCCTTGCCTTGGTCATCCAATTCTCTTGGATTAAGTATCACAACAGCCTTGTCAAGGCACAAGAATCTATCACTGTGTGGAATATTTGTTGTCTCTGAGTCTGATGCGGGCAAAGGAGGATCGTAAAGGGAGGTTTTTGAAACTGAAGCAACAGTTACTCTGCGCTTCCTAAAAGCGGCTGTGATCACTTTTGCCATGTCAATAAAAACACTTCCTTGAGGCTCCTTGAGAATGTAAGTATGGTAGCCGATCAAGAAAATGATTATAGAGAGAAGAAAACAGCCGGTTGGTATGGCAAAGGAAAGAATCCAACTGACATTAGTCTGAATGTATGTTAGGGCCAAAAATTGTCTTGAGCTCGACGAGGCCCAATAATGAAATAAACATGTCACGGCCCAAGGCCTCAACCTAATCCCGATTGGGCCTACGCTTAAAATCACCTTGCGACCTACCCACTCTATGAGTTGGGCTATCCTATAAGTTAAGCTAAACCGGGTTTCAGCCTATTAGCCTGCAACAGTCTATAAAAAGGAAATCAGAATCACATTATATTTCCTCTTCTACTAAGATTTCAAATCTTACTCAAACTATTAAACTTGATCTGATAAGGTCAAGAAATCATATCTCTTTCATGATAGAGATTATCTCCCAAAATAGGACTTAGTGTCCTACTAAGATTCTAAATCTTATTTAAACTATTAAACTTAATCTGATAAGGTCAAGAAATTATATCTCTTTCATGATAGGGATTATCTCCCAAAATAGGACTTAGTGTCCTACTAAGATTCTAAATCTTACTTAAACTATTAAACTTAATCTGATAAGGTCAAGAAATCATATCTCTTTCATGATAGGAATTATCTCCCAAAATAGAACTTAGTGTCCTACTAAGATTCCAAATCTTATTTAAACTATTAAACTTAATCTGATAAGGTCAAAAAATAATATCTCTTTTATGATAGGAATTATCTCTCAAAATAGAACTTAGTGTCCTACTAAGATTCTAAATCTTATTTAAACTATTAAATTTAATCTGATAAGTTCAAGAAATCAAATTGCTCAGCCCAAAGGCAATGTTGCAGGGTCTAATGCCTCCCGATCCAATGGCTAGTAATGCAAGAGCCGCAAAGAGGATGCCCAGTTGCCAGTTCTCAGACTTTTGGCATTGACTTCCATTGCAGGGTGGCGGTCTAAAGTGAGGTATGCATGCCGTCAGGGTCATAACTCCCATACCCTATCAAAATAAATCTCAGATTCTTAATATACGCATTCTTGTTCCAAGGTTCAAAGTAGAATTCTAAATTTCTAATGGATTATAATCAACAAAAGATATATATTTACGTTAATACATCCACAGGCATGTGATGGCTATTTAATTCCACCACCTAACAAATTTAAGAGAAATTAATTGAACATTAAAGAATAATGATGACGTTCCAGATCTTATTAAATTTGATATTATGGCATGAATATTTGTACCAGAAAAGAGGATATGGAGCCGAAGAGGAGGGTGCGGAACCTGCCCAGGTATGTATCAGAAATCAAAGCACCTGGTATAGCTGCCAAATTAGAGGTTCCAGACCAAATACTAACCACATTAACCAAAAGTATACCATCCTTATTATATTTGGCATGCTACATCATGTATTCATGTGGTCATCCCACGTGTGAAAGATATTTTTCACGGGCTGAGACATCTATACCCTCTAGGGTTCTACTAACTTGCGCACGGTGTACACGAATGACGGAAGTGGGTGCTGCACACCGTGCGTAGTTTGATAATAAACGCAGGCTTCCTTCTTGGAAGAACAGTCAGCAGGTCAGCTCAATACATTAGCAATTAGATTAGTCAAAAGGTCAACATTTGATTCTGAATTGTTCTCTAAATTTGATGCTGTATTGCTACAAAAGGCCATTAGCAAGTTGCTGGTGTCACTGTCGAACACGTAAGTAAAGAATTAGTTGCCTTATCCACGGATTTACATCTCCAGATCGACCCTGTTCGATCCACGAATTTACACCTTCGATTGACCCTGCCAGATCCACAGATTTACATCTTCGATCGACCATGCTAGATCCACGGATTTACACCTTCGGATTGACCCTGCTCAATCCACGGATCTACACCTTCGGATTGGCCCCGTCTGATCCAGGATTTACACCTTCGTTGACCCCCTCGATCCATTGATTTGCACCTTTGATCGGCCTTGCCCGATCCTAAAGCTACACATTCAGTCAGCCAGACTGGTTGAAAGGTTCTTACACCTCAAATCGACAAGTCATCACCCAATCCACACAACGATCCATCCGACCTAAGGGCTGCTATCACTAATCCGCTGAGTCTACACTCATTCGATTAAATCTACTCTCTAAGCTAAATACTCTTTAACTTAGAGAGTGGAAGGCTAACATCTGATAAGGTCAAGAAATCATATTTCTTTCTTGATAGGGATTATCTCCCAAAAAAGAGGACTCAATGTCCTACTAGGATTCCAGCCCCTTGGGTTCACTATAAAAACAGAGGTTTGCCCTCTCATTAGGCATGCAATCTCCCATAGTCAATCTACACTACTCAAAACCATCTATTTGCTCCTAAAGTTCTTGCTCCCAAGAACCTAACGCCTCCGCCGTAGTCCTAACTTCCAACAAGACTCCTGGTAATTCTTCATCTCCTTAATTCTTATCAAATAATCTCTTTCAGCCTCGCTGACTTGAGTATCGGAGTGCCTACGACAAACACCACCCCGGTGTTTGTTATAAGCTTCACGCTTGTCTTTTCATTTGTGCAGGTTTAGCAGATTGTCAGTGGCCTCAACCTCACGGGATCATACCCTATTTTCATGACAATGGATTTTTTGCATCTACAGTTTGGCGCCCATCGTGGGGCCCTGACAATCATCTGCCAACGACAACTTATAACATGGGAGGCGACACGAAACTCCTTTTGACTGACAATGTTAATCAGAAAATCCCATCAAGATAAGAATTTTTTTTTTCTTTATTTTTCTTCGTTTGTTTTATCTATTCACATGCCATATTATATCTATTCGGCATATCGTAATTTATTTTATATTATATCCATTCAGCGGGTAGTATAAGACTTTGAAGCTCATATTATTGTTCTCAATTAATAATAGCTTCATATTATTGTTCTAAATTAATAATAGAATAATAATGTGTCAAAGTTTAAAGTGGTGTTCCTAAACCACTTGATTCATTGACTTTGCTTCAACAATCTCTCTTCTCTAATCCTCTGTTCAGATAAGGCAATAGCTTCTGTCTCTAACCTCTCTACACGCGCCTTTTCACTTCAATCATCAAACCACCAGGTGGTCCGCCACCGTCATCAGAGCTTTGCAATGCATTACCCGCCACAAAACCAGTCAATTTGTTCATTCAAGAAGATGCCGCAATACTTTAGCATCTCCAGGACCTCCGCTCCATTAGAAGGTAACTCAAACTCAACCAGCCTTGATCCAATCCCAATTCAACTTCACGGATATTTGCCACCACTTTGAAACCCAAACCCAAACCCCGTCCATCTGTTCTCCTAAAATCGCATTAACAGCTTCTCTAATCACACAGTGAAATCCTAAAAACATAGCAGTAATCCTCTCAAAACACCTAAAGTCATCTACTAAACACGAAGAGAAACCCCCCAAACAAAACCTGCTTAAGTGACGCCACCCCACTCTCACCTAATCTCCTTACCCCACCGTATTCCAAAACTCCAAACTCGAATCATCGCCCCTTCCCAACCAATACATGTCAACTCAAACCACCTCACATCACAATCTCTAGCACACATGTCACAAAAGCCCTCACGCTCCCAATTGTCTGCAAACTTTCCACTCCCCACTGCAACTCAGCACCACTAAACAACACGAGTAGTCCACTCAATGATATTTGGGTCTGCACATACGATATTAAAGTGCCTATTCGGATCAGCCCAAAAGTGAATCACGTGCCCACTCAACTTCAACTGGTTCAGCTCCGACATAAAAAGTAACACCCATCTCTCCACTCGGCCCAGCAAGCATGGGTGGTAGCACTTGAAGGGGAAATGTATGTGTCATTGTCTCCTTTTAACTACCAATCTATTTGGTTAAATCTTTCTCTATTTAGCTCATTACTTAAATACATGCAGCCCATTTTTCCATTTAGCTCACTCTTTATTCATTCCATAACACATGCACATCATGCATATTAACTCTCTATTCGACTATTTGCTTAAAACATGCATGCCATGCATGTCACTGCTCCAGCTTCAATCGAATGTTTTTAACTACAAAGTCGGTCACGCTGACTGGGCCACATAACCCTCAAAGGTTTCAACTACAAGTCGATCACGCCGACTCGACTGCAAGCTCCATACAAGCCCCATTTGGCATACACCATCGGATCGACCCTGTCCGATTCACAGATTTACACCATCGGATCGGCCCTGCCCGATCCATGGATCTATGCTTTCAGATCAGCCCTGCCCGATCCATGGATGTACACCTTCGGATCGGCCCTGCCCGATCCACGGATGTACACCTTCGGATCGGCCCTGCCCGATCCACTGATGTACACCTTCGGATTGATCCTGCTCGATCCACGGATCTATACCTTCGGATCGACCCTGCTCGATCCACGGATTTACACCTTCGGATTGACCCTGCTCCATCCACGGATCTACACCTTCGGATCGGCCCTGTCCGATCCACAGATTTACACCTTCGGATCGACCCTACTCGATCCACGACACACCTTCAGATCGACCCTGCTCAATCCACGGATTTACACCTTCGGATTGACCCTGCTTAATCCACGGATCTACACCTTTGGATCAGCCTTGCCCGATCCACGGATTTACACCTTCGGATCGACCCTATTCAATCCATAGATTTACACCTTCGAATTGACCCTGCCTGATCCACGGATTTACATCTTCAGATCGACCCTGTTCGATCCACGAATTTACACCTTCGAATTGACCCTGCCAGATCCACAGATTTACATCTTCGGATCGACCATGCTAGATCCACGGATTTACACCTTCGGATTGACCCTGCTCAATCCACGGATCTACACCTTCGGATTGGCCCCGTCTGATCCACGGATTTACACCTTCGGATTGACCCCGCTCGATCCATTGATTTGCACCTTTGATCGGCCTTGCCCGATCCATAAAGCTACACATTCAGTCAGCCAGACTGGTTGAAAGGTTCTTACACCTCAAATCGACAAGTCATCGACCCAATCCACACAACGATCCATCCGACCTAAGGAGCTGCTATCACTAATCCGCTGAGTCTACACTCATTCGATTAAATCTACTCTCTAAGCTAAATACTCTTTAACTTAGAGAGTGGAAGGCTAACTGTTAGGGCCAAAAATCGTCTTGGGCTTAACGAGGCCCAATAACGAAATAAACATGTCACGGCCCAAGGCCTCAACCCAATCCCGATTGGGCTTACGCTTAAAATCACCTTGCGACCTACCCATTCTATGAGTTGGGATATCCTATAAGTTAAGCTAAACTGAGTTTCAGCCCATTAGCCTGCAACAGTCTATAAATAGGAAATCAGAATCTCATTCTATTTCCTCTTCTACTAAGATTTCAAATCCTACTCAAACTATTAAACTTGATCTGATAAGGTCAATAAATCATATCTCTTTCATGATAGAGATTATCTCCCAAAATAGGACTTAGTGTCCTACTAAGATTCTAAATCTTACTTAAACTATTAAACTTAATCTGATAAGGTCAAGAAATCATATCTCTTTCATGATAGGAATTATCTCCCAAATAGACTTAGTGTCCACTAAGATTCCAAATCTTATTTAAACTATTAACTTAATCTGATAAGGTCAAAAAATAATATCTCTTTTATGATGGAATTATCTCTCAAAATAGAACTTAGTGTCCTACTAAGTCTAAATCTTATTTAAACTATTAAATTTAATCTGATAAGTTCAAGAAATCAAATTGCTCAGCCCAAGGAATGTTGCAGGGTCTATGCCTCCCGATCCAATGGCTAGTATGCAAGAGCCGCAAAGAGGATGCCATTGCCAGTTCTCAGACTTTTGGGCATTGACTTCCATTGCAGGGTGGCGGTCTAAAGTGAGGTATGCTGCCGTCAGGGTCATAACTCCCATACCCTATCAAAAATCTCAGATTCTTAATATACGCATTCTTGTTCCAGGTTCAAAGTAGAATTCTAAATTTCTAATGGATTATAATCACAAAAGATTATATTTACGTTATACATCCACAGGCATGTGATGGCTATTAATTCCACCACCTAACAATTTAAGAGAAATTATTGAACATTAAAGATAATGATGACGTTCCAGATCTTATTAATTTGATATTATGGCATGAATATTTGTACCAGAAAGAGATTGGAGCCGAAGAGGAGGGTGCGGAACCTGCCCAGGTATGTATCAGAAATCAAAGCACCTGGTATAGCTCCAAATTAGAGGTTCAGACCAAATACTAACCACATTAACCAAAAGTATACCATCCTTATTATATTTGGCATGCTACATCATGTATTCATGTGGTCATCCCACGTGTGAAAGATTTTTTCACGGGCTGAGACATCTATACCCTCTAGGTTCTACTACTTGCGCACGGTGTACACGAATGACGGAAGTGGGTGCTGCACCGTGCGTAGTTTGATAATAAACGCAGGCTTCCTTCTTGGAAGAACAGTCAGCAGGTCAGCTCAATACATTAATGATTAGTCAAAGGTCAACATTTGATTCTGAATTGTTCTCTAAATTTGATGCTGTATTGCTACAAAAGCCATTAGCAAGTTGCTGGTGTCACTGTCGAACACGTAGTAAAGAATTAGTCTTTAAGATCAAGTTTGATCATTATTTATAATAAGTAGACCACAACATTTTTTATCGTCTTTTGAAAACTACATGTTTTGTAGCAGCAATTTTATATTTGCAAGTTGCTGTGGTGAGTAAAGATTTTGTTGTTTTGTTCTTTCTGATGATGAAGAACAATTTCATTAGTTAGATACAGAAAAATTGAATCCATTGCTGCTTTGATAATCAACTGGAGAAATCATATGGTGAGCTTATACATATCAATGATCATCAGGGATTCAACATATATGTTTATAGTTATAAATAAGTTTGAGTTGATTACACCCAAGAAGTGTTTTTCAACCATTTGTAATGAGATTGCTGTTCTGATGTATTTACAAAACTACATTGTTGTGGTTCATGCGAAGAAGATTTTGCTGGAAGAGAGTTTTTTCTGTTATGAAATTAAGAGATTGAACTCTACAATGGGAATTGTAAGACCATGCTTAATGAAGAAGAATAGTAATGATCTTTACAGCTTCATGTTGGTATTACATTTATTGATTACATATTTTCCTGAGGACACTGGAAATCTTAAGCCTGGAATTCTAGAATTCACATTCCTCTTCTCATCTGGGTTTGACTCTCATATGCTCAAGAGCTCCACAACTTTGCTCATTGGAGGCCTCGAATGACGATCTTCTGCTGCACACAGCAGAGCAACTTCTATCATTCTATCAATCTTCTCCTCGTAGGATTCTTTTTCAGTCTGGATCAATTACTTTCCTTAGCCCTTCTGGTGTCATGTGCTGTTTAGTCGCCCATTGTACCAAATTATTGCACTCGTCGTAAGGATTAGCTGATTGAAAACCGGGGCTGTCTTTCCACTCAATAGCTCCAACAGGACAACACCATAGCTGTACACATCTGCTTTTGCATCTAATTTGGTTCATCATCCATTCTGGAGCCAAGTATCCTCTCGTGCCACGCACCTTGGAAAACCTTGTGTCATGCCGGTCTTTGAACAGCTTTGACAGACCAAAGTCGGCCACTTTAGGTTCAAGATGATCATCCACCGTATATTTTGAGGTTTCACATCACAGTGGAGCACCCACTCTAGGCACTCTTCATGTAGATGACAAACCCCTTGCATTTCCTACTGCAACGTTGTATCTTGGTTCCAGTCTAATTTGCTGGCTGAATCACTGAATAAGATTTTATCCAGTGAACCATTTTCCACATACTCATAAACCACCAACTTGTGCTCATTCTCAGCACAAAATCCCCACAGTTTCACCAATTCCTGTGATTGATCTTCCCTATGATGCTCACCTCCGCCCAAAATTCAGCATCTCCTTGCAAACACCTCCCAGTCTCTTCACGGCTATAACTCTTCGTCTTCCAGAACTCCTTGTAAACTGTCCCAAAGCCCCCAGTTCCTATCCTCTTGCTTGAATTCTTTGTTGCCCTTTCCAGTTCCGCATAAGTGAACGTTTGAAGCCCATGGCTAGTACAGTGATCCCATATTGGCCAATTCCTCATGTATGTGCTTCCTGAAGACATACCACCATGCCAAACCAATGCAAATTATTTCAATGACTGCGAAGGCACTCACGAGGCATCAAATATTTGATGTACGATTTCTTGCTGGTTTTTCCTCCCTCAGCATCATTACCTCCAAAAAAGGAGTTTCATTTGAACAGTTCAGGTCATTTGTCCCCACCTTCCTCACTCCAGAGAAGAGATTACTGTTCCTCTAGAATCTTTATATGCATATTTTGGGCTTTACTCGTTACACGAAAGCCATTTCGGAAATACGTTTCGGATAACAGCTGCCTTGCCCATCTGTCGAATATCCAAACCCTTGCATGTGCAATCACTTAGACACCGATTCCTGCATTCTTCAAGGAAATGTGAGCTAGCATAGGTAACCAAGTCATTTCCATAGAAATCTGTTTTTTAAGCAGCATGAAATCCAAATTAGTTGGATCACAAGTCAGATTAAACGAAGGAAGCAACCCTTGGACCAGTCTGAAGGATCATTTCTGTTGAAACCATCAGGGCAAATGCAAGTTGATTGCGGGCTGTAAACGCAAATACCATTTTCACCGCACAACCCATGAACATGGCAATATAAAGGTCAACGGGATCCATGAGATTTTCCATAGCCCGTGTTGAATCATCTAAACTATACAATCTCAAAATTCCATCATAATCTAATGTTAGCGCCTCTTTGGACCGACTCCATAATCAGCTGCTTTGAATACAAAATTATCACTTGATTCAAATGTCCAAATCATTTAGATTGCTTTTCTGGTGCTATTATAAGGTGTTCTGCCACTCTCAAATACGGTCACCTTTGTACTTGGCCAGTAGACACTTGACAATGAGACCATTGAAGAGTGAGATTCAAAACATTATTATCACGAATTTCATATTATAAACTCCCGATAAGTATGTGCCTCGACTTCTCATAGAGACCAAGGTTGGGTTCTTGGTAAATGGCTGAGATGGAAGGATGTGTCCGTGGGGATTTCAAACTCTCCCAGATGATCCCCTTGGTTGTTGTTGACCAGCACCAAATTTCCTGTTTCAAGAAGCCGAGCTTCGACACCTGCACTTGTTAATGTGTCAGTTGACCATACTACTGATTCATCTTCATCAGTCAAGACCAGATTCCCATTTCCGGAGGGTTAACCTGGAATACCTTCCATTACTGGCTTGTCTCTGTTGGCCATCCAAACCACGGTCTTGTTGACAGAGTTGAGTGAACCATATTGCAAAACAATATGCATTAGTGCCAACCTCGTAAAATCCACCAGAGAATGTCCCCTTTGGTGAAGCCAGGAAATCATTCTCTTTTGCAACAGCCAAGGAGCTTCCGCGGCTTAAACTTGGCAACCCCTGTGACCACGCTTGAGCCCAGGCCACTGATATTAATATCAAGAGAATGAAAAAATCAAGAAATCTCATTGTGGGGGGTTTTGCAAAAGATTAACTCTCGAATAATCTTTCTGAAGCTTGATAAAAGACTAAAAGGTTGCTTCCTGTAACAAGTATTATAATGTCTCAGACTTAATATAAAATAAAATTTATTTCCTGATTGGAAAACTACAGATTATATAAATGACTAAATAATTTGACATTTAACAAATCGTATGGACCACAAGGGGGCTTTATAACATTCTGACTTGCTTAATTGAAGACCAAAATGTAAAGGAAAGGATACTGGATAATATTCACCCAATATATGTGAAGACATTTTTATATATATTTATTTTAACGTAAGATTAGGTAGATTGATTAAAAATGACTTTGAATCGTACTATCTGACATTATCTCCTTGTCCTGATTTGTTTCAGAGTTATGTCAACCGCGATACTGCTTCAGATTTGCTGGCTTTTTTTTATACATGGGTTAACTTGATAAATTGGATTAATGTAAGATCATTATTTATCAAATCATTGCCAGGAACAATTTTTTATTCTTTTTCTCATAAATTAAACCGTTCATATATATATTTTTTTTAACTTTTCTCTGTGTCTCTGTGCATAATCAGTAGTCTGCAACTTGATAATGCATAATATGATAACAATCAGTTTTAACATTAATAACCTCTATGTTTTTGTTTTTGTGGCTACCAGTGATAAAAAACCAGCAATTTTAATTCTTTCTTCTTTTTCCTCTGATTTTATAATAATTTCTTTTTCCTCTTTTCTCTGATGACCTTATACTGTCAAACATAATCAAAATTGTTCTTTTCTGGAATATAAACATTCTTTTATTTACTTCATATGCTACATCTGAAAATGCTTTAAGCTGATCTTACATAATAAACTGTGTATCCTAATCATGAAAGCACAAAAATATACTCTAGCTAGAAAACGGAAGATGTTTACAGCTGAAGTGCAGTTAGTGATTGCCTGGACTGAGGCCTTCAGATTCAGTTTCACATTCCAACAGGGTCCGGACTACTGAATCCATCGTTGGTCTCTTGTTTTGATCTTCCGCCACACAGGATATACCAATTTCAACCAATGCTGCAACCTGTTTCTCACTAAACTTTCCATTCAATCTTGGATCCACCATGTCCTCTATCCATGTGTTCTCTCCACATTGAATTTTCCTTTTCACCAATCTGGTGTATCTCGTCAACTTCGATTCCTGTTCCTCACCATCCTCTACCACCCAATTTGAAAGCCTAATTCCTTTCACCATCTCTAGAATCACAACTCCAAAACTGTAAACATCAACTTTGGCAGTAATAGGATGATTCAGGCCACTAGGAGACATGTTTAACCTTTCGTTCTCGAATCTGAGAGAATTCAGAACCATAGCTGCCCCTTGAGACAACTTAGCCGCCAAAATCTGCAATCTTGGCTCAAATCACTGTCCAAAAGAATATTTTCAGGCTCACGTCACAAGAATAACCCATTCCAGGCACTCGTGGTGAAGATAAGCTAAACCCTTGGCTGTCCCCAAGGCAACTTTGAACCTTTCTTTCCATCCCAGAAAACTGGGGAGAATATGTGCTTGTCCCGTGATTGATTTTCCACATACTCATAGACTAAGAGTCTATGTCTGCCTTCTGAACAGTAGCCCCACATTCTCACTAGGTTCATGTGATAGATTGTTCCGATTATACTCTTCTGCCCAAAACACTTCTTCTCCTTGATACAAATCTGTTAGTCTCTGACAGCCACACCCTTTCATCTCCCAAAACACCCTTAAACACAGCCCCTGAACCTCCTGTACCAATTTCTTTTTGAAATTTTTCGTTGCTTCTGAGTTCAGCATAACTGAATCCTTGAACTGAGTTGAAAGTGCACGATATCCGTCTTCTAGTAAAGATGGCACACCATGTCTTCTATAAACGAGCCACCAACCTAATAGAAGGAAGATAACTTCAATTGCACCAATAGCTAATGCAAACCCGTACATATAAATCCATCTCACTCTCTGCAAGTAGTGTCATACATGGAAGGGGATCCATCAAATTATAGATTCTTGGCATACAGGATTGCTGCCATTGAGACTATCGGGTTCTGATGCTCAACACTGACTGGAAACTTCAAATATATGCTGCCTGGAAATGTTGGAGAACGGTAGCCATTGAAAGTGCACTTTTTGTGTAACAAAGCCCTTCCCCGTTCAGCCTATAGCTAAATGCTTCACACTGGCAATCATCCAAGCATAATTTCTTGCAAGATTCCATTGATGTAGCCTTACTGTAATGGAGATCAAAAACATAGAAAACTACTTTTTGAACCTCGATAAATTTCAGTTGCTGTGAGTTTGAACAAGTTCTGTTGAACTTAGGCTTACAACCTTTGTTCCATTATTAGGTTCAGTTACCTCATAGCCTGGAGGGCATGAGCACTGGGCTCTGGTTGTAGATACACAAATCCCATTCTACCACAAATCCCATGAACTTTACATTGCTCCATAATAGTTGCCATGAAATCATCCATGATCCTGTCAAATTGTTGAGGTATAAAGCCTGAGATTCCCATCATAATCCATAGTTAGCCTTCTTTTGATCCCAAAGCCCACATCAAAAGCTCTAAATTGCCACTTGTCACTTGATAAGAAACTGCCTGTTTCATCTAAAAAAAGCTATTCTACTACTGTTATACGATGTTCTTCCATTTTGCACACATCATAATCAGGTTAGGCCAATACACACTTGAATATCGGGTCCATATACATCAATTCAATACATATATTATCAAAATAAGACATAAAATACCCAGAAGACTAATTTCCTTACCTAATCTGGAAATCAGCTGTGTGCTCTTTGTAAAAAGTTGGTTGGAAGAAGTGGATCGCTAGGATAATCAAAGCTTGCCATAGAATTTTACCATCTGCATTCGTTAAAACAAGATTTCAGTATCCAAAAGTTCTGCTCTATAAGCACCAGTAGAGGTAGTGTTAGTCATCCAAATTACGAATCATAACATCGGTTAGTAGCATGACAACATTTTGCGGAAAGTAATTTTGAGCCCTGCCCATTGAAGGTCTGTCACGGTTAGCCATCCAAACAACAGTTCTTCTTTAGAATTGATGAACCAGATTGGAACAAATAAGCATTTTGTCCAAGGCCATAAAACCACAGGTGAAAGTTTGTCTGGGGATGATAACACGTCTGAGCATCTTCAACTGATAGTGAAGAGCCTCTACGCAACAAGTTTTGGCTTTTCGAAGTATTGAAAGTGTTAAAGCATTGATAATTTGCTGGAAAATTCAGTTAAGTTGTTTGTTTTTGAATTAGTTTCTTGGTGCCAAGTAGCAGTTGCATTCCCTTGTTTTCTGCTGAAACGGAAGCTGCTGGAGTTGTGCTGTAGTTGTTATTTTTTGTGACATGATTAGGTAAAATCAGCTTAGACTAAGGATGTATTAAGTTACCAACTTTGTTTTTGAAATTTAAAAGTCTGAATGGTTGTTGTAGTGGTAAAACAGTAAGCTTTATTGTATATATATTGCAAGTTACAGTATAATGAAATACAGCAGTTTACTTGCATTTTTTCTCCTTTTTTTCTAGAGTTCCGGCCAATACCATCAAATGGTATCAGAGCTTAACACCAAAACAACTGAAACTTCCTTACACTCAGTCATCAATCTCTACTCAAGAACACCTCCCATTTTCAGCCCAAAACAACCTGCACTGCACCTTTGTTTACCCTGCGTCAGACACAAAACTTGAAACAATGGCTGCTCAATCAGCCCTGATGTCACCTCCAGTATTCAATGGGGAGCACTACCACATATGGGCTGTTAAGATGAAGGCTTTCCTCAGGGGTCAAGGGTGTGGCAGGATGTGGAAAGAAAACAGGCAGCCACCTCCATTAGGACAGAATCCTACCCTGAACAAATGAGATTGCATGAGGAAGAAACAATCAAAGCACCAAGAGCTCTTCCACATTCATGCGCTGTGACAGACCTTGTATTCACAAGAATCATGGCATATGAGACTCCAAAAGAGGCATGGGATAAGCTGAGAGAGGGGTCATGGGCAGCACCACAACAAGGAACATGCAGGTGCTAAATTAAGAAGAGAATTTGAGATGCAGAGGATGCAAGAATCAGAGAAGGTCAAGGACTATGTTGACAGGTTAATGGGTGTTGTAAACAAGATAAGGTTGTAGGAGTGGAGTTAACTAATAGGAGAGTGGTGGAGAAAGTCCTGGTCAGCCTACCCGAAAGATTGAGTCCAAAATCTCATCTTAGAGGACTCAAGAGACATGGGACAGGTTACACTCACAGAGCTGGTTCATGCATTGCAAGCACAAGAGCAAAGAAGGCTCTTGAGGCAAGAAGATGTTGGTGAGGGGTCAATGATGGCAACTCACAAAACCAAACCAGTTCAAGGGAATAACAGGAGGTATGCCGGTGAAAGAAAGGGAAAGAAAGGAGTAATGGCCAATGGGGAAAACAGGTGGGATGAAAGAATATCCACCTTGTTCCACTGTAAAAGGAAGGGCACTTGAAAAAAGGTGCTGGTTTAGGCCAGGAATACAATGCAGAGCATGTAAGCATTTGGCCATATAGAGAGGGTGTGCAAGAGCAAGGGAGAGCAGTCCCAGCAGCAAGCACAAGTGACAGAGGACCAGCAACCAGAACAGGGAGCAGAACAGCTGTTTATGGCCTCCTGCAGTGCAACCAAACCTGCTGTGATGGCTGGCTAGTTGACAGTGGGGGTACAAAACATATGACACCACACTTGCAAGATTTTGTGAGATTAAACTCAGCACATCAGTCCAGGATTAAAGTGGCAAATGGTGATTATGTGAAGCAAAGGGGAAAGGAGATGTTGCAATCCAAACCTCCACAGGTACAAAAATCATCTCAAATGTTCTATATGTATACAAAATTACTCAAGCCTCCTAAGTGTAGGACAAATGTTGAAAATCATTATGTTTTACATTTTGAAAATCAAATCTGTCAAATTTTAGATAGAAGGGGTGGTGAGTTAA